CTTCCCTGGCAGTCCAGTGGTTAGGACTCCACGCTTTCACTACTGAGGATGTGGGTTCGATCCCTGGTCGGGGAACTAAGATCCCACAAGCTGCATGGTGCAGCCACCAAAAAAGGAAAAAGAAGAAATATGAACTAGAGAGAGAATCATTAGAGAGTGGGATAATCATTAAAGAGTGAGTGCCAAGAAGATATTTTTTAATTTGACCAAAGGTTTATCGTGGCCCATATGAGATAATAAATACCAGAGTGTATCAAGTCCAGCTCCTGGCAGGAAACAGAAGGGGTAAACAGAACATATCATGAAGCGATGACAGACCAAGGTGGGCAGGGTTTGGGGAACCAGCACAAGGGAGGTGAAGGCCCAGAACCTGGAAGAGTGGGGCGCTGTGGCCTCCCAGCGAGCGGCCAGACTGGCAGGAGGGTGGGTGCTGGGCAGGACCATGCCTCAGCTCGGAGGAGGAAGCCACTGCTGCTTCAGCCTGGCAGGGGTAATGTAGTGGGGAAGTCGATGTCCCACCCTGCCTCCTGTCCTTGTTTCCTGTGCGGACCCACTGTCCAAACCCAGCAGGCAAGGGAGCCGGTCGCTGTGGAGGTTGGGTTCAGCCTTTTACCTCTCGGGACAGAGCAGGTTGGAGAGTGGATCCGAAGGGCGCGTGGAGAGTGACTGTCCAGAGTGCAGGGGACTGGGGAAGGGGAAGATGGGCTGCTGTTTGGGGCTTAGTGGACTGAGGAGCAGAACGGTAGCCAAGGTGGAGGGGTGGAGACATGTGTTACTTGGACAGATCACTATCGACCACCCAGTTGTTAACATTGTATTTTATGCCAGTAAATGAAAAGCAGAAGTCCCTGACTCTTCTTTGGTTTGGGAAATAACTTTTAACAGAATTCGTTTGAGTTCAGCAAGGTTGATCTTAGTTTTCTGCGGTAGAAGTCAGTTGAAAGTCAATCGGGTAGGTATTCACTGTATGCCTGGTATGTGTCAAGCTCTGCTAGGTGATGTGGGGATATAAAAAGGGTAAGATCAGATCCTTTTCCTTGATAGGTCACGGGCAGACTGAGGAGCTCCAACGTGGAGGTGTGAAAAGGTAGTGCCAAGTCCATTGGCGGTACCAGCATCGGACAGGTTCCTATTAGTCACACGTTTTCTTCCTCTTATGAAAGAGCGCTCCAGTGGCCTTTACGTTAGAAACAGAAGCAGATTTTTGGCAGCGCAGGAAAAAAAATTCTATTTCCATATTCTGGTTCCAGCTCTCCTCCCCCACTCCCGTTGGTTTGTTTGAAAAATTTGACAGCTAATTCAAGTGTCGTTTGGCTGGAGGCGCATTTAAACTCTGTAACTGAGGGGGTTTTTTGTGTTTAAATGGATCCCAGAATATTCTCATCGTTTCACTTTTTCAACTTACATTTTTTGACAGGCCGATTAAGTTAAAATGAGGTCTTTAGGGTGGGCCCTAATCCAGTATGACTGGTATCCTTCTTAAAAGAGGGAATTTGGGCACAGAGACAGAAGCACCCGGAGGGAAGATAATGTGAAGAGATAGGGAGGAGGCCAGACAAAGGCAGAGGCAGGTTGGGGTTACACTGCTGCAAGCCCAGGGACGTCTGGGGCCACCAGAAGGTGGGAGAGACGGAAGGATCCTTCATCCACAGATTTCAGGGGGAGCGTGTCCTTGCCAACAGCTTGATTTCGAACTGTAGCCTCCAGAATGATGAGAGAATACATTTCTGTTCTAAGCCACCCGGTTTGTGGTACTTTGTTATGGCAGATCTAGGAAACTAACATACCCTCCAAATCTCAGCTCATAGTAAAGATGGATTCCATCAGTAGCTAATTCTAAATTCTTTTCTAAACCTATTAATGAGAAGAACGTAAAAGTTGATGGCTATTAAAAAGCCCTTATTTTAGGGCTTCCCTGGTGGTGCAGTGGTTGAGAGTCCACCTGCCGATGCAGGGGACGCGGGTTCGTGTCCCTGTCCGGGAAGATCCCACATGCCGCAGAGTGGCTTGGCCCGTGGGCCACGGCCACTGAGCTTGCGCGTCCGGAGCCTGTGCTCCGCAACGGGAGAGGCCACAACAGTGAGAGGCCCGCATACTGCAAAGAAAAAAAAAAAAAAAAAAGCCCTTATTTTGGATTTGAGACTCTTTACTGAGCTATTTTGATTAAAAACATATTTTTTTCTTATTACATGAAATATCTGATAATTTATTAAATATTACAATTAATAATGTATTATAAACACGCCAGGTGGTAAAGGGTAGGAGAAATCGATCCCTTTTTTTATAGTTTAAATTTCTTTAGCTGGGTTTTAGTCACCCCGCTTTTCATTTATGGCTGTCTCTGCCCTTCCTGTGAGTAAGTTGATAGTCATTCTCATGTTATTAAAGCTATCAAAAAAGGATTCTAAGTTTCAGAATATATATAGATGTTGAAATGGCCTGTGATTTAGGTTGTTTCTGTATACTGATAGTCTGTCTAGGCCACCCTTTTACTCAGTTAGATTTCTCCTTCATTTGGAATGCTAAAGCTTAGCAGTTGAAATACAGTCTAGGCTGGGTGGCAGCCTCTTCCCCGTTCTAATACTGAGGCTGGGTAAGGTAATGTCTGGACCATGTATAATGTACTGCATATGTATTATTTCTGTCCCTGATTTTTAAAACAAATTGCAAAAGCAATATATCCTCTTATAGAAGAATAAGACATACAGTCAAAATAGCTGAGTTTTTTTCTTTATCCAAGGATTAGCTGGACTGTATAAAGAAGTGAAATTCATTTGCGTGACAAGTATTTATAAAGTGCCTGCTCGGTGCTGCGTACTGTTCTAGGCTCGTGAGATGCATCAGAACACGTGAAGATCCCTGCCCTCATGTTTTAGGCGGCAGGCATGCCATGTGGGCCAAGTTGAAAATGCAGGGAGGTGGCGGCAGTGCTCCCTTCTCGCCACAAGGCGGTGGCCTTGTACAGCACCAAGCCACCACCTGCCTCCTGGAGAGCCTGGGGTGGGTGGGTTGACACCCCTGATACTGCCTTTGAATTCTGGGGGGTAGAGTGGGATGGTTTAACCCCGTCCCTTTGTTATGTTAACTTACAGTGAGGTCATAAGCAGCTATATAGAGCGAGAGATTATGAAATTACCATAATGAGTCTTTTGGGTGGTCATAATTAATTCCTACATATTTTTACACGTGAGCCATGCTATTTCCTGTCTTCTTTACCATGTTTGAGTAATACACAGTTTAGTAATAGAAGAAAAAAAATTAAAAATTAACTGCAAAGAAAAAGTTTTATGCCACCAATGATTTTATCTCAGTTTTTGTTCATTTTGTTTCTTTTTGTCTGTGACCATTTGCAGTTCACATTTCATTCATGAGTTTAACATCGTTACAAAAGGCAGATATGTATTTTTCAAAGTATAGCACTTGATTGATACAGTTGGTTTCTTGGGTGGCCAGGATTACTGGGACATAATTAAGAATTCCAGTGAAAGTCATGTTGTGGCATAATACATCCCACCCCAGTTTCTAAGAAACCCGTTTTAAGAGAAGCTTTGTCAGCTGTTTCACAATCGTTAACTGAATATTTAGCTTTAAGTTTTAATCTCCCTTCTAGGGCAAAGGGTCTCTAGAAAAGGTAGGCCTCCCTTTATTTTTCCAGAGCTTTTGGAATGCCTGCATTGTTCTTGGCACTGATCCCACCCCACCCCACCCCCACCGCCAGTGTCTCGTCTGGGCTTTCCTTGCTGTCCCACACCCCTAGGTCATAAAGCCACACCCCTTCTCTTTTGTCCGTTGGAGGAAGTGTCTGGGAGCCACTTCTCTAGGGTGGAGTGATGCTCCATTTTCCAGCATCTGCCCTATGAGGCGCTCTCAGGGCAGGCTGCCTTGTACTGCCCTCCATTTTCCCCGCTATTTTACATCCCTATAGGGCTGGGCTCCGTTGTTTGCTGTTGCTGGCTGTGTGTTGATCTCATTTTGTTGGTGGTGAGAGATGTGGCTGTTGCCCTGAAGCAGTCACTCTCAAACTCTGTTCCCAGGCCATCAGTATCAACCTCACTGGGAACTTGTTAGAAATGCAGATCCTCAGGCCTACTTCAGAGGCGGAAACTGAGGATGGGGCCCGGCAGGCTGTGCTTGGACAAGCCTTCCAGGGGATTCTGATGCACAGTAAAGTTTGAGAATCACTGTCCCCAAGCAGCGCTACTTTAATTAAGAAGTTACACCAGTAGCTCTGAGCACAAGCCCCCCCTCAAATCTTGGTATATGTTAGCATTAAAACTGATGATATCTTAGTCCTTGAAGTCAAGGCACTTAAAACTTTAAAGCACCTGTTTCGTTGCTTTTTGAATGTCAGTATTTCTGTAGCATAATATTTTTTATTTAGAGTTGACAATACGGTTGATTTCAGATTTATTAACACGGATGTCTTTGGGGATTTTTGTTGGCCCTCTGAGTCATCACCTGAACAAATGTGGTAGAGAGGGAGCGTTCCCTACCTCCCATCTTTCACTGTGGCCACCTCTTGTCTCCATTGCCGCTGCTTTCACTTCTCCATTGACTGCGGCAGCAGCTGTTCCTGGGCAGTCAGTCTGCCCGTGGTGAGACGAGCTTTGTGAATCAGCCCGGCTGGCACCGTCTCCTCACTGAGCTGCCTTCTGCTGTTTATGGAGCAGATACAAGTCTGTGCCACGAGGCAGTCGGGCTGCTCAGCCCTGCCTTCAATCCTTTAAATAACACGCTTTCTTAAAACCTTGAGTGCAAGTCTGGCAGTAAAATGAAGTCTTAAAAACAGAAAACAGAAAACAAAAAGGTGCTTTCTGCCATGGGCAAAAAACTGACAAAAATTTAAAAAGCAGGACTTTTAGAATATTGGTTTTTCAAGGACTGGTTATGTGAATAATCCTACCTAAGAAGTCAGGTTTTCCTAAGAGAAGATTAAGCAAAATGGATGCTCAGGAGAGATTAGTGATTTGAAATACTGAATATTCTTCTGTCTCTTCTAGATCTGGAAAGGAAAGAGCAAGAGTTAGAGCAACTGAGAATGGATTGTGAGCACTTCAAAGCCCGCCTGGAGTCTGTGCAGGAGGACAGCGTGAGAGAGAGGAAGGTACGGTGCCCACAGGGTCCCCGCGAAGTGCCAGCGCCGCGGCCGTGACCACAAAGTGGCGCCGGCCACAGCCCAGCCCGGAAGCCTCAAGACGCTGCATTTTTACATGTATTTATTCTGAATGGGCTGGAAAATAGTTGATCGTTTGGATTTTACAACCATTTAATGTGGGGGATTATTTACTTGGTGCCTTTTGATAGTCACTTACTGTTAATTCAGTGTTTAAAAGCCCGATCCAAGTTATTAAAACTCATAATAATCTTGAAAAAAATCATGCATACAATGATTTGTAATCAGAGATAGATATATTAAATAGAGATATTTGTAATTAACCTCACACATCATTTACTGATATTTTAGAAATAACCAGTTATATTTCATTTTAATATTTGGGGAGACTAACAATATTTCTTAAAAATTATACATTTTTTTGCATGGAATAAGTTATTTCCTCTTCTATAAAACTAGAATGCTTCTGCCACTTCTGCTGAAATTTGGAGCTTGAATTTTTATTTTTGAATAGTAAAGGAGTAATAGTACTAGTGACAGAAGCCAGGATATGTTGTTAACTGTGTGCTGGCAGGTGGTCAGCAGCTGTCCATGCATCTCACTTGTTTCTCCCAGCACAGCTGGATCAGCAGGTGCTGTTAACCTGCCGGAGTGAGAGGAGGCTGGTTCCAGGCCCCACTGCCGTGTGCTAAGCTTTGTGTCACACTACCTCCTTGTGTGGAGGAGTTTTGAAGGTTTGTGGCTGCAGTGGAGGTTTTCCAAAGCTGATGCATTTTGTATAGCTTTTATTTTTCCCCCACGTATTTGTTAATTGTTTATTTGTCAAGAAAAACTGTTCCTTAACCCAGATATTCATAGTTCTTAGTTTCATAGTTTAGGAACACAGGTAAGTGACAAACTGCCATGGAAATCAACCCAAAGACATTCTTTACATTCCAAAATCATTTTGCACTCTGAAAGACAGTAGCTTTCCTCATCGCCTCAAAATCTTTTATGGAATCATAAATTCTGTAGAAGTCTGCATATGCCTTCTTTCTTCGTTCAGCCACAGCAAACTTATAGAAAGCTGCAGCTCCCAGAGATACAGTGAATATCTCCAGCAATATGAAATTGCAGACACTTGGCCAGAAGGCCATGCATCTGAGGTTTCATCAAAGAACTGGAAGCCACGGTAGTTTTTCTCCTTGAAAAAGATGGCTCAACAACATCTTTCCAGACTGATGGAGAAATGGACTGTATAGACTTTAATACCGAGCACGTAGAGAAGACCAGGGAAAGA